GTGGTTAGTGGCCTAATGGAAGAGGCTCAAAGGAACTTGTTTGTCCTTTCTCCCATATGAGGAACAGTAAGAAGGCACCACCTGTGAAACAGACCAGACACCAAACCTGTGGCTGCCTTGATCTCAGACTCCCTGGCCTCCAGAAATACAAACAATAAATTTCTGTTTTTTATCTTACCTTAGGCATGTCCCTTTAAGAAATGAGAAAGCTGATATTCAGAGAAGGTAAGAAATTTCCCAAGCTTGTTTATCTAGGAAGTGGGCTGGTAAAAACTTGAACTCAGATCTCCAATCTCCCCTGGAGCCACTCTTTTTCAAACTATATTACTTGACAGTTTTACACCTAGTTTTCCTAGTAATGTTGCCGATGGCCATAGCTGATGCAAAAAACAGGGTAACCAGGTAACCACCAGGGGAGCTCTGGAAAGACAGGTGGTGGAAGGTGTGGCAGGATCAGCCACCTGTCTGTCCCTATCACGTCACCGTTTCACCACTTTCTGCTCTTGATTCTGCCTTCCTTCCTCCTCTTCCGTCTTAGAGGTCATGTTCCATTAAGACCAAGAAAAATACTGAGAGAAGAGAAAGGGGTCATTGTCTTGCCTGGCAGAAGACCTGAGTGTGGAAAAGAAGGCCATGGGGAACTTTTTTTTTTTTCAAAGTGGCATTTGGGGACATTCGAGATTCCCTCCACCATCTGGTCCAAAACAATCCTTTCCATCTATTTTCCCCTATTACTATGTGGAAAACGCATTTTTCTCTGAGGTTAGGTCATAATATCAGGTCATAAGGTCAACGTCTCCCAGATGCAGTTGTTGCCCTGAAAATCTTTTCAATTTCCCCTAAGTGCAGGACATGCTCTCACCACGAGTCCTGGGAACCATAACCCACAGTGGTTTCCTATCTGCTCTCTCAGGCTCACTCCAGAACATATGGTCACCGCACTCTGTTCCTTGCCCTCTACTTTCTACTGAGATCATAGATATGATTTAATACGTGCATAATGCACATGTTTTCCCCCAAATGTGCCATGCCCGTGGCATCTGGTTTCCTTGATCTGGAATGTTCTTTATATCTTCCCATGTCCTGATTGATGCTACTTCTTTAGGAAGTCATTCATGACCAACACCTCCACTGTCTGCACCCACTAACAGCTGGCAATTTATCTGGACGTCTCCTGCACAGAATTAGTCCTTTTTCAGGATATGAGCAGTCATCACCATACATGGAATTCATTATATCATAATCATATGTGACTTCCCGGTAGACTATACACTTCCCAACACCAGAGTCCATGTCTGCTCATCTTCACATCCCAAGGGACTATCACAGTTCCCGGCCCATACTTATTTAATAAATGGATAGTTATAAAATGGTAATTCCACACTAACTTCTGTTTGGAGGGCTTCTTATTTATTAAACACAATCAACTACACCAGATATCAACACACTGGCATCCCATCAGAAGTAAAGTATTTCCATTACTCCAGGAATGTAGCATTGGCCAAAGGTAAAGGTTAGGGTATATAAACCAGGGACCTAAAAACATTTAAAACCACAACTGTGGGGAACTCCCTATTACTGTAGGAAGGGAGAGTGATCTTAAAAGAAACCATTTCCTGCCCCGCCTCAGCACCTAGTTTTTCATGAGGGGGCCTAGAGAGAATAGGAGGAAGAAGGAAAAAGAATTGGGGTGGAGGGGAAGCCATGTTTATCTAAGTCACCAATATTTTCCAGGTTCTTAATGTTTATCCTGGAAACAAGACTAGCTAAACTCCTAAGACCCTATTTCACTTTTATGAATTCTTCTCTGGTTTACCAACAGATAATTCTGGGATGATTTTTCTAATACCCATAGCCCAGTTGACTTTCCACAATTCCTCTTTATGATAATGGAACTTATTCAGAAGATTCATGTGAGCCCACAATCAAATGAAAGTTACTGTCCACAACAATATGTTCTGCTTCCCAGGCAGCCCCTCTTCTGCTATTTCCTGACGCTTTTACAGACTTCACACCCAGCCATCAATCACAAGAGAGTGCTGACTTATTTTCCTTGTGGGTTATAACCACGGCCTCTGTAACAGCCGGCTCTGCACAGGCTGGCTGGACTGAGGACTGGAACCAGAGCTGCCTTGTGGGGGAGGACGAAAGACACAGCCATAAGCCCCTAGGCCCTTGGAAAGTGCAGCTTAATTATTTTAATACTGTGTCCTCCCTCAAGCTTCTCTCTCAAGGATCCAAGGAAACAGTCCCCCAACCTACTGCCTTCTAAAGCCATCACCTGTTTCCTTCCACTGCTAGGTTTGATTTCAGACCAGACAGGGCTTCCAAGGGGAAGGAACAGGCATACGCTTAATTGGGGTTGGGGGAGAGGGAAGAGAGCCTCTGCCACCATCACCCCAAGCAGGAAGGCAGGCGGATTGTGTGTCTATCCTGAAGTTCAGCTTGGCTACACTACAAAACTCAGCTTTCTGTAATCCACACAGTCACCCCATGGAATAGATATTGTTATTCACATTTTACAGAATGGGGAAGTTCAGAGAGAAGAAATCCATTACTCAATAGTACATACTCAATAAATATGGCATCACAGATTAATAAAGGGATGTTTGATTCCAAAATCCATGCTATTTCTGCCATGCCAAATTACCGCCTCCTCCAGGAAGTCTCCATATGAATGGGCAGGAGGCTGAACAGCTATAACCACAGCACACAGCAAATGGGACAAAGACTGTCCCCACCCTTCTGACTCTGTACTCCACACTGAACTGCCAATCTCCCCTGGTAGAGACTGCCAAGCATCCACATATCCTAGTCTCTAAGTTACCCATCAATTTCCACCTGAAGAGGAAAACAACAATCACCAAAGAGATGTAGGCTTCTGGGGCGAGACCTCCTCTTAAGCCACGGCTATCACTGTAGAACCGGCCACTGTTTTACTTTTAGTCTCCTTCCTGCCCTAATTTGTGCTCAAAACCATAAGTCAGGGTAGATCTTTCTAAAGTGTGAGCCTGGGCATCATGCTCCTCTGGACAAAACTTCTGTGGCACCCACTGCTCTCAAGATAAACTCCCCCTGCCCACTTAGAGGTGGAATGTTCTTCATACCCTGCCCCACCTGGCCTGTTGCCCAGTAGCATCTCCCATCACTCTATTATTCAGTCATTTCAATATTTTTTATTCATGCCTGGAATTCTCCTTCCTTCTCTCCTAGCCTGGAGACAGCCTCTGCTCTCATGAAGGACCAACTCCTGTCTGTGGTCTCTTCTGAGAAGACCACCCTCACCAATAGTCTCTCAGCACTTTGTACTCACACCCTCATCTCCACTGAGCACTCAACACCCTCCCTCACATGCAAGAGTCTGTGTGTTCTGTCTCTTCCAGGGATGTGTGTACTATCAACTTGAAAAGTAATGGCAGGTGTCACAGCACCTAGGTAAGTGGACATACATCGATTAACTAGACCTAAGACCCATCTCCATGGAGATGTGGCAATGGTCTGGTTTTGCTGGCAGAAATCTGAGGCTGGGTCTAATTTTTGTTTTTTGTCTTCTTAAAATGAACTAAATTCCACAGGTTGTGGTATTGAATGTCTAACTGTCCTAGGAAGAGCTGAATGGTTCTAAAATCAAGTTGAAGAGCTTTGAGGCAAAGGAAGCCTCTGAACCAGTTTCATTAACAATCTTGCTGGAATAAAACACTTGGGCCTTAAATGTGCTTGTTTTCTTTAGGTGCTGTGGCATGCTATTGGAAAGCCCTCTAGATAGAATCCATACTCTTTTGAGACTGCCTTTGTTTTTGTTTCATATGTAGAAGTCGGTAGACTTCTTAGAAGTTGGTAGCAGCCTCATCAAAAGAAGTGAGTGTCTCATCAACCAAAAATCAAGAGGAAATTGAGCTCCCTTTGGAATGAACATGCTAGTGCCTCATATCTAACTGCAGCATATGCCATTTACTTTACTTTGCCTTTAAGATAGGGTCAAACAATGCACCAGCCCAGCCTCGAAAGGCACACAATGCATCTCACTTTAGCTCAAAGGAGAGACCCCAATATGGTGTGTGTGACCAGTGCCTGGGTAAACCAATGCACATCTCTGATGCATCTAAAACAGGATGTGCTCAGGCCTTTGGAAACTCACCACCTGCCTGAAAAACATTTCCTTCAGCCAAGAGCATATCAGGTTTGATCTTTACCCTTAGTTCACAGACTAGCCTGTGTTGGGTCTAACCAAAAGGACAGAGATGAGACCTGGACCTGGCAAGTCCTTTCCGGACCACATTGTCCCTGGCTATCACTGCCTCACCAGGCCCAGTCTGACTGAAAATGATGAGAGCTAACAGAAAACTCTGCAAGTGTGGAGGGGAAGGGGTGTTGGGGCTGGGCCATGTAGCCACAGGCAGATGGTTGGTATCTCCTCTCCCATCCAAAATCCCCACTTCTGTATCTTCCTAAAGACAGAAAGGGAGACAGAAATATAGAAGGAGAGTAGCATTTTTTATGCTTCTAGTTCTTCTGTTTTAAAAACTGTTGAGCTATTTTTGCTTTTGACAAATATCTATTTTCCTCAGTCCTCTCCCAACAAAGTTAATAAGTCAAGTTGTCATCTATATATCTGCAATTCTTTGATTTTACTTTGGCTTACTGGGGAGGGAAGACTTGCAACCTCTGCCCCACAGGAATGGGCTAGTTAAGCTAATCTTCCTTGGAAACCTTTGTAAAAACAACTCTGAAGCAGCTAGTCCAACGGTCAACAGAGCTGTTCTAGAAAGGCTGATTTTCATACAGTGGGTTTGTTGACAGTGGTAACCACCAATAAGCTAGAAATCCTCTTTCCTAGAAGCACATGACAGCAAGCTGAAGTCACATTTCCTTGTTTAAACTAGACTAACCATCACAGGTTTCACTGAAGTGGGTCATTTTCACAATGTTCTTATGTGTGTGCCATGGCCAACGCCAGAATCCACCTGGATCACTTTGGGATTCGGCAAGGTCAGGCTTACCTGTGATCATGCTCAGTGCTGACAGGCAGGCTAAGGCTTGGATATCAAGGTTCAGGCTCTGCAAATTTAAGGAAAAGTCTTTAATGGAGTCGAGCCACTCCCCAAATCCACGAAGGCACTGAAGTCGGTGCAGGACAAGTCCATTGCAGAACACAAACTTATCTTCAGCAGTGTTTGACCTGGGGGGCGGATGAGAGGAGACACATGAAACAGGTCTATTGGGTCTGGCCAATGTGATAACATGATAACAGGCAGACAGCCAAGGGGCAGTGTTCAGAACCTCAAGGGTACTGTAAAGTATGCTGAGGCACCTCCGAGGAACAAGACTATGTACCCAGGAGGTAAACAACTGGAACCGCCTGTCTGCGAAAACTTACTGGGGAGCGTCAGCCCCAGGCGAGATAGTTTCATGACACCTGCTGTCTTATTCCTCCATTCAGTTGCTGGCTTGCCCTTGGACAGGATATGGAGTAGCAGACAATCATGGACTACAGAGGTGAAGCCCAGTGACGGGTCCCATGGAGGCTTCTGAGTTGGGCTTGTCCCTTGTTTTCTTAAACACCAAAACAGATAAGACCTGAGGCTAGACACTATAATTCCACTGTGCAGATTGTAAAAGCATCAAGTCCTTCCAAGCACCAGAAGTCAATCACAAACTAAAAAGTCAATCACAAACTAACTGAAAATTTGTATTTCCTTCTCTCTTTGAACAGTGGGGCTGCAGAGGACTATTTATGTGGCTTGGTAGTAAAGTGCTTGTCTATCATGCATGAGGCCTGGGGTTTGATCCCCAGCACCCGCCCCCCCAAATTAGAAAATGATTATTTCCATAATCATCATAATCATTCCATTCATCTCTTAAGAAAGGTGCTCTGAAACCTCTAGTTGGACATGATAGCTTAGCAGTGTGACCTTGGACATTCCTTAAATCTCTCTGGGACTTCCTTTCCCTTATCCGTAAAACAGGAATTCAAATTGCTAACTCCTAAGGTATTCGAGGGAATTACATAAAATAAAGGATTGGAAAGCCCATGAACTATGTCTTTAGTACACAGGAGGATGCAAAAATATTAGTGGTAACTAATTCTGAATTCCACGTGGTCCTTAATTTAATCTTAGTTTAACTTTATAATATCTTATTACACATTTATCTATGTTGGCCTGTCACATTCACAAGTCAACATGCTTTTTGGATGAATAGCTTTATTCATTCCTTCACTCAGCAAGTATTTACTGAGCACCAAGTATGCACCATTATTAGAGTCAGGCACTGGAGAAAACTTGGTGAATGAATAGGACAGATATGGTGCCTGCCCTAGTAGAGCTTACTGTCTACTCTGCTGTGCACATATTATATGACAGTCACAGTGCTGCTGGGCTCTGGCATGCACTGAATTGGCTGTACATTAAGCTAATTACCAACACTATAATTGTAACTTCACCTTTCCTCTTCCCCTGATCCTGCCACACAGGGCACATAGGACAGAATGATTCAATCTTAGAGTTTAAACATGGGCCTATGACTGCGGGAATCCAAATGAACAGAGCACAGGTTAAACACGCAGGTGCTGGATTTCTTCCTATATGATTTAGTGAAATGTTGGTATCATCTCCTAAGAATAGGAAGATGGAAATAAGCATGCGTGAATAAAAACAGTAATAAAGTTAAAAAAAGAGCTACCTGTGGGATATATGAGAGGAGCTTAGAGAGATCTGAAGCCTTTTGAAAAATCACTTCCCCTTGTGTTTGGTGTTACTGAGCATGAGAGGCTAGACCAAATCTTTTGATGGGGTGTGTGTATGGTGGTGGTGGGGGGGTGCTGTTCTTTTGGAGTAAAAGTTGGGGGTTGTGAAGCTGTGGAACTCTTTAGAGCCCCATCAAATATACTAGAACAATAACTTGCAATAGAAACTTATGAGGTAAACACAGCGTTCCCAAGCAAATACTTACTCCCAGGAAATACCGTATCCACCATGAGAATCTTCCTAGAACCATAGAATATTGAGGCTGTTAGGGACTTCAGACATCAGCACATTCATCCTCCTTATTTTACAAAGGAGGAAACTGGATTTCCAGTTAGGCAATAACCTGCTCAGGCTCTCACAGCAAACGCATGTTAGAATTGGGACTAGAACCCAGAAGTCCTGGTTGCCTCCTCTGTGTTCCTTCTGCTACCTACTGCTAGTGTTTCTAATACCTGATCATATTTCCTATTTGCTCCTTGAGCAAACTTTTCGCCAATTATTTGGTTGCAAACAAAGAAGTTTGCAATCTTTTTCAAAGGAAGAAATAGACTGAAGGAAGATGAAATCATAGTAATTACCTGATGGAAAGTCTGAGAACAAACAGCTCCAAAAAGGCTGATTCTATAAGTAATGTCTGATCTTCTTTGGGGAGATCAGTAAATCCTGGAATCTTTTCTGCCCAGCTTCTGGATACATCAATGGAGGCTGTCAGAAGGTTGTAGAACTGTTGCACGTGCTCAGCATCTGTGCCTGCAGTGGCCTGGTCAGTGGGACAGTACTAAAATGCAAATCACAGAGGGCAGCGTCACCTCCATTCCATGGGAATAATACCACCATTTACAAATTGGCTCTTCCCAGTCTATCAATGCCTCAATCTTTACATTTATTTTAAGGTTCCAAGGTTTATAAAATCCTTTTGCATTCACAGTCTCATCTGATTCTCACAATGACCCTGTGACATAAATAAAGTGAATTCATTATTATTATTCAATAGACAAGGAAAATGGTGTATGTCCCTTTAGTTTCCAGTCTTAACTTGTCCTGCAAACATCTGGGGAGCTTAAAAAAGAAAAAAGAAACACTCGATGCCCAGAGATTCTATCCCCAGAGATTCTAATTTAATTGGTCTGGGGGTGAGATCTGGCCATCAGAAATTTTAAAAGCTCTCCAGATGATTCCAAAGAGCAGCCCACATTGAGAACCACTGCCCTAAGGGTTTGGGTCTGCATGGACCTCCAGGGTCTAGCGATTCTGGGATAGTACAGTGGTTTCCCAACAAGAGGCCATATTAACCCAGCAGCTCTGGATGATGTTCTGGACCAACAGCATTAGCAACACCTGGGAATTTGCTAGAAATAAATCTCTGGCCCCAACCCAGACCTACCTAACCAGAAACTCTGGGGGCAGGCCCAGCAGACTGGTTTCTTCAAGACCTTCAGGCAATTCTCATGCACACTGAAGTTTGAGAATCATGGATTTAACCAATAGGAGAAAGAAACATTTTTTTTGCTTCCTTCAATGGATTTCTGTGAGACAAAATACACTAAGAAGTATGTGTGTGTGCGTGTGTGTGTAGGGGGTGAAGTGTGACCTTGGCAGAGCTTAGGCAACTGTGTGCCTTCAGACACAGGACTTGTGGCTACTTAATGAAATGAAACAAAATTTAAAATTCTGTTCTTCCTCATACTAGCCACATTTCAAGGGCTAAATAGCCAAATATGGAACAGAATGTTTCTATCGCTACAGAAAATCTACTGGGCAGTACTGATCTAGAAAGCTGCAAAAGGGAAGAAGAAAGGTGTAGCAGGAATGAAGTCTCTACCTAGCTCTTGGATTTTCTGGTAGAAGGACCAGTTTGCTTGAATCATGGAGGAAAAATTTTTCTGCTTTGGGCAGGAAGGTTGATATAGCAAGATAATACTCAATGAACAGCCAACAACACAGATTCAAGAGATATGCAGAAGCACACATGTAAATATGTGTGCCTTCACATTAACATGGCTTAGTAAGATTTTGCATCCCTTCTCTCCATTGATCCTCAGGGGCAGGGATTTTAATCCTTATTTTACAGAGGAGCAAACTGAGACTCAGAAGCTTTCCCAAGTCACATAAGTGGCAAGCCAGGACTTAAACTGGCTCTGGGACTTCAAGTCCTTTACTTCCTGTCTGATGTTACTAGTTGGTAGTTACTGAGATCTTTAAAAAGCTTCTAGCTTTACAATAATTAGAGCTCTTCAGGTAGGTATTTATTGGCCCCATACTTCTATCAGCAGCACAGTGGCTGGCACATAACCACCCCTCAATAAATAGTTGTCAAATATTTTTTTGCAATGAAAGAGTAGTCAGGGGAGTGCCTAGGTTAGCCGCAATACCCAAGCTGATTGGAAGAGAAACAGTTACTAAGCAGGAAGGTATTGACTTTAGAGCTACCTAGGTGTGAGGACTAGGATCTAGACTTAATTTGGTCTTTTTGTTTTTATGGGTTTTTTTTTATTTTTTAGTTGTTGATAGACCTTTATTTTATTTACATATACACGGTGCTGAGAATTGAATCCAGTGCCTCACACATGCCAGGCAAGTGCACTATGGCTGAGCCCCAGCCCCAGCCCCCGATTTGGTCTTTTTAAATTTGCTTCTTTCCAAGAAGCATCAAGACATAACTGGAGAAACATTAGACTCAGAGCCTAGGTACTTTATATCAGTTTTGTCCTGGCCCCTAATTTGTAAAAAAAAAAAAAAAATGTAGCTCTATTTCACTTTTCTGAGCCCAGTTTTCTGTTCTGTAGAATAGGGATAATAATACCATTTTAAAAATTTTGTTGTGATGATTAAATGTGATAATATATGGAAAGGGGCTGACATGTAGAACAAGTGTAAAGAACGATGGTGGTGATGATGTGGGTATAGGTTGTGATAGTTGACATTGTCACCATTCCTCAGCTTCCTTATTTATTGAATGGGGGGATAGGCTAAAGCATGAGTTTTCTCATTTTCACTCTGGTTTTCTAAGATTCTATAATCAGGTCCAGTTTAAAGCTCTGTCTCCTTTGTTTCAACAATCTCACAAAGTGTCTGGGATTTTATGAAACCATGAATATTGTGTGATGCTCTGGACCATGGGACTAAAGTCCAGGAAGAAGTATGACCTTCCCAAGGGCATTCGAGGATGTTGCATGGCCTCTTATCACAGGCATTTCCTACCACTGCCTTTCAGCACACACACCCTTAACTAGGGGAGAAAAGAGGAATTTTTCTTTACTTTCTCCTGTGAATCTAATACTATATACTTTCCAAAGGCAGAATAAAATTCGGGGGAGGTCCCCCTTTGAAAAGTTGATAGCACTACATGAGAAACCTCCTAGTGAGTGGTAGTACGAAGAAGAGGAAAGTATGTTGGACCCAGTAGCAGGTCCTCTGGGCTGTGGCACTGACCTGCTGTGTAACTCTAAACAAATCCCTTAACTTCTCTGGCTCTATTTCTGTCTCTGAAATAGGAATCAACTGGATTAGCTAATCACTAAGATTTCTTCTGAGTCTTGCATTCAAAGATTATAAATATTGCTAAAAATCACAACAGATACGATGTTATTGCCTAGAATTTGACACCAACTCAGCATTATTTGTTTTTAACTGGTGGGTTAAATGGAGAGAAGAAGACTAAAAGATGTAAACTCTCCCCTGGAGATGGGATCTAACAGCCCCCTCTTGCATTGACTTCCCTGAACCATGGCTCCCGACTCAATAGTCACTCAGCTTCCAATATTTGTTCAGAACCCACCAGAGCGCGTAGCTTTCACCTGGGGTCCTCTGCAGGCCCCTGCCCCTGCTGAGCTCACATTTCACGCCTCCTGCACTCAGGGAAGAGCAGTCTCTGCCTGCCCTGTGTGTGTACTTTTCTCTGATGGAGCCCAGCAAGGAGGAAAGCCAGCAGGTCTGGCCTGTCAGTCTCTAGCCAGGCCCTCTGGGCTTCACCTGCAGTGATTCTGGTCCAAGTCCCAGAATTCTGGAGCCAAACTGGATTCAGCCTGAGCCACCAGTACCTTGGGGGTGACTGGAGGGTCAGTATCCAATGCTGGGGGAAAAGAAAAATCATCTCCTCTACCGAACATAAGATTTAAAAAAACAGAACAAAACATGCCAGATTCTTTGCCTGCCTTAGCAGTTTAGACTTGGAGTTGGAAGAACCAGATCCCCATTCCTGCTTCTGAGCTCTCTTACAGAGCTTTGACTCTGGGCAAGGTAAGTTTAGGTTCACTGAAGAAAATCTAGGAATGGATGTTTACTGATCTTGCCAATCAAATCCAGGCCAGATATAGAAGGATTTCTTAAATAAAATTTTCTTGTTTATGCTCATTTTTAATTCCAGCGTACAAGAATAGTTGAGCCATCAGAATCTGTCTTTACCACTAGTCAAATATGTAGCATTATGTCTACTGACAGCCAGTGCCAAATGGAGATTTCTCTGAAGCAACTAGAATGAGAATCCAGAGCCACAAACAATAGCATGGGTATTATTTAAATGAAGATGCCTCTGTACATTTCATGCAATAATAACCCAACTGTATAAGTTAGATTTCAGCAACAGCCTAGGCCAAAAATAAGTTATTTGAAAGGAGAACATCAACCAACCCTAAAAAAAAACAGTGATGAGATGCTTTAATAGTTTAGTAGGATCAAATATTTATCTCATTTTCAGTTTTAGCTAGATATATAAAATATCCTAAGGATGTGTTTCTCTCTCCTTAGTATGTTACTTTTCTCTGGTCTTTATATCTCTAAAAATTTTAGACATGATCATTCTATGAGTCAAGCAATGTATTCTTAGGTTCTTACACTTTAAACAGTGATGTTTTAAAATTGGAAATGAATATATTTCCCCACAAATTTCTTCTTTTCTGATCTAACTGCCTGCCCTCCTCCCCTGCAAAAAGCCAAAGCCCATAAAACTCCCCTCCCCCGATGAATGACTCCACTGTAGTTCCAAATTTACCTTCTTTCTCTTTCTCAGGCATGAGAGCTTTCTGAGGGCAGGAGCTTTGTCTTGTCCAACAATCAATGTGTTCACTACCCTAGCACAGTGCCTGACATCTGACAGCCATTCAATAAATGTGTTAAAAAAATTAATGTCTTTCTGGAAAATCTGTATCTGTATTGTTTACTCTTTCTGAACCTGAGGAAAAACTGGGAAAGTCCAGGTCAAATTGATTGTCATTATTAAGACATATTGGTGACTCTCAAACCTTAATGTGCCAAACAACCAGTTGAGGCTCTTGTTAAAATATAAATTCCTGCCTGCATCCCTCTTCCCTCAATTCGGATTCAGAGGGTCTGGGTGTGGCTTGAGATTCTGCATTTTAATGCAAACATTGGAGTTTTTCTGGCTATCACTGCTCAGGGAAATCCTGAGCTGTACTCAAGAACGGAACTGTAGAACTGTAGCAGGTGTGATGGTTAGAGGGTCAGGGAGAGAAGGCTGGAAGGGACCACAGGAGTGTATTTAGCCTAATCTCTCCACCATTCAGATGAGGAAACTGAGGCCCTTGGAGGGACAGGAACCGGCCTGAAATCATCTAGTGAATTAATCGTTGGCAGTTTGAGAGTGTCTTCTGTGAAGATTCATGAAACCACTCTTTTTTGGTCTTCCTCATGCTGCCTTCTCCATAGGTTTAACATGTGCTAGCTGCGCTGCCTCTTACAGACTATTCTGTGAACACTTAAATGCCATTTGCTGATGCCTCGTTTTATCTGGGCAGCACCTCTTGTATTTGCAGTCTGTTACTGCACTAAATGGCATTGATTACCAGAAAACATCCTAGTGTGCTGAAAATACTTGGAATGACCAACTAATGAGGACATTAAGTATATTTTCTCATTAGTAATTATGCAGGCACTGAAGCCAAGCCCAGTGTCTATATATACTTGTATTGCTAAATTAAAAGCAACTGTGGGGCAGAGAATAGCAGCATTTCGAGAAGAAACAAATCAAACGTGACATGTTTTGACTGCACTGATGTACAATGATCTGAGCTCATTTTTGAGGGAGAGAAGTTTGGCCCAAAGGAGAAGTGAAGGTCCCAGAGCCAGGAATGCATCACAGGGCTCAGGAGCTCTTGTTCTGGCCTCTTGAAGCATTCATTCCCTCTGTGACTTGGAACAAAACCCTTCCCTTTCCCACAAATGGAGAAAACTGCTCAATTTCTACCTTCCAGGCACATATGCTGTTACATGGAGATTAAAACATACCAGGGCTGGCAAGCATCCCCTTTCTCTACTGACCTGATTCACTGCGGGAAGATAGCACCTTTAATAAATTGTATCGGTCAAATCAGCTCTCAGACTTGAAGCTGACAGGGCAAATTCTTATTTAAATGTAATAAATTATAGACACATAATGTTAAAATCAGTTACTGCTGAGGAATGGGATCAGGCAGGTATAAATGAAGAGAAAACAATGTTTTTTTTTTTTTTCATTGTATCCACTTCTAAATGGCTTGTTTTTTTTTTTTTTTTTAAATGAATGGGTATCTATTACTATTATTGTAAATTTATGAATATCTAATAAATTGTCTATCTTTAAAACTCTAGTAAGTTGCCATTAAATAGAAGTGGCAATGTAATGACATGGAAATACCTTGAGTGATGTGATTTGGGTCTTAGCCTAGTTCTGCCCTGACCCTAGGCAAGTGAGTTCACCCCTTTAAGTCTTAACTTCTCTGAAAATATGGGGGCTGGATTAGATGATCTCAAGGTCACCTCCAGGTCTGTGAATTTGCAAATATAAAACTTTAAGGGAAAGGTTATGAAAGTTGAATTTCATTGAATGACAGACTTAAACTACTGAAAACATACATTTTGCCACAGAGGGGTTTAAGTAGAAATTATATAAGAATATATGCTATGGTGCCTGGTTCAAAGTAGGCAGTCAACAAATTCATTTTGTTTCATTCATTTCATGTACTAAGGTTTTGATAGAGGAAAAAAAAAGCAGGTTTAATTTTAATTAATATCAAGTTACTATAGCCATATGTATTCTTGTATGTATATGTATATGTAACCACTTGTATTTAGGGATGCTAAAGGAAATCTCAGAATCTTAAAAAAAAAATTAAAGAGTTGGAAAGGACTTAATATGTCATCTAAAATAACCATACTTCTGGTGCTGCTGATCTCACACTTTGAGAGCAACTGCTTTGACCTCAGAGTGAGCTGGAAGAGGTCCCCTTCCTTCTCTATCCAGCTCTTCCTGTGGGAGCTGTAGTCCTTTTTGCCACAGAGCAAAAGAGTAACCTCATTCCACCAAATCTTCCTTTCTCTCTCTCTAGTTCCATTTCCTACAACAATCTCTTACAAGTTCCCAGAAACAGCATCCACATTCTTCTTAAAACCCAGCCTGGAACAATCTCAGTTTTTGAAGAGTGGTCTGACAGGACAGAGTCCGTGAGACCATACTGAATTTGGTTCTGGTCCAGTACTTCTAGCACTGCAGGAGGTAATTCAGCATCCCTCTCTTTCACCACACACATACTTTGTGAGTTCATATTGAGTGTCTATGGAATAAACTCCCGAGATTCTTCTTAACACGAACCACTGACAAGCCAAGGCTCTCCCACTTTTTTTCTTAATTCTAAATGCTGAGCTTCACATTTATTTTTGTTAACTTTCTTCATGATGGCTTCAGCCCTTCCTGTTCCAACCTGTCGAGATCACTCTGAATGTTGATACTGACATCCATCATATTAGCGATCCCTCCCAGCTTTCTGTCATCTGCAAATGTGATCAGCATGCTCCTATGTCTTCATCCAAGTTTTTGACGAAAACTCACTGTATTTTTTAAAAAGTCTTTTAATTTACTTGATTTTGGTCCAATTTTTGATAATTCTGTAAAGCTATCTAAAAAGTAGGAGAACCTAAGCTATAAAGTTCAACCTGAACTCCAAAACAATGCAATTAAAATAAATATGCTTTGCAAAATTGAGCCAGGCCCCAAAGGTAGTCTCAGTGTGACCCAGACTCTGGCATGGTCAATCTGCTATTTTGGACAAAGCTAACAATTAAATTGGATAAATGTTTGTTGATGAGGATGATGACTCTAGACTAACAGACTGAATGGTGCAGAGGGAAGCAAACACACTGGATTGATTTTTCAGTGTGGAGACAGTTCCCAGCTGGGACAACTCAAAGTGCTAGGGAAGGTTTGCCACTGAATGAGTTATTAGGCCACATAGGCTGATAATTGGATAATCCGGGGCCAAAATATCACTTCTGGGGCCTAACTTCATGGGATTGACCATCAGGAGTGATGTCAAATGCCCTGGAACAATGTCAGATTGTGCGTTGTAGCCTTGACCAAGGCAGTGCCTAGATGCTTCATTCACAAAGATGGACCACATGGGGAGGGGGAAGGGGGTACTTCAGGGAGAAGTCTTCATTCCCAATACTTTTCCAGCATCCACTGACTGAAATCAGAGAGGCAGTGAAGCTTGGTGTTAAGAAGCACAGAATTTGGCTTCACTATACTTGGCTTCTAAATTCTATCTCATATGCATGTTAGCTATGTCCTTGGGCAAATTAGTCCTTTAGCCTGTCCTAGTTTTAATTTCCTCATCTGTGCAATGGAGCTCATAATACTTACCTTAATGGTGTTACTGCACGGTACCTGACATATGTAGTGTTCTTACTCATTAATATATTCAACTAATGGCAGAGTGAAAAAGTTTGGTCAAGGAAATAACATATAAAGCTCTGTGCTAAAACTTTGACAAGTATTATCCATATTTAATTTTCATGAACAACCCCAGGAAGTAGATATTATTGCCCTATAATACAGATGAGGAAACTGAGATATTAAAAGATTCAATCAGTTGCTCAAGGTGACCCAACTAGGAAATGATGGTGTTGGGATTTTCATCTAGGCATGCATGCTTCCAAAGCCTAGGCCCTTAACTACTGCATTATTCTGTTATACTATTATCTGAGACTTGACTTTAGTTAAGAGCTGCTACTTGTAATCAGAAGAAGAGTCCTCAGCCTTTGGTGCTAAGGATCAACTGTGCTTCTCCTAAGGAGTCTTGTGATCAGGTATAGAGAGGAGGCTTCACAGTCTAGTGAGGGTGGGGATGTGGGAGAGAGGATCACAGCAGGTACACCAATCATTTCTGTCAACACTACAACTGCAAAGGGGGGCACACAGCAAAGACACACTTGCACACTTTGCCAGACAGTTAACTGGATGACTGAAATGCTGACTAGACCTGGGGAAAGCAATCTGGTAGTAGCTGCCTATCAGATCAACCAAATGGAGACCCCTGTACTGGTCTGGCTTTTTCTGTATTTCTAAGTTTTCTTTTCATCAAGTGGAGATAATGATCCCTACAGTCCATGACTGGTTAAGGATTAAATAAGACAATATACCACAATGTCTTGCATGTAGAAATTATTCAGTAATTGTGATCTTTTTCTCTTTCCTTCCCTCTTCAGCCAGACCCTGTCTTATTAGAAGTTTGCTTTTCTAAATCCTTGAAAACAAACAAACAAAAAAAACCTGCCTTTCAGTAATGTTTGCACATTTTCTCAGAAAATCCTTTCTCATGGCTCTAAATTTGCAGAAATCCAACTGATGAGATTTTATTATATCTTATATGAAATAAAAATGGTGATATGTTTTGGCTGATTTAAATCACAACACCGGTAACCATTTAAGGTTTTAAAAGTGTTTCCATGATTTTTGTGTAGCTGATGTTTGAAACATCCCTCTGGGGTTAAATATTGTAATCATCTCCACTATAGGGATGAGAAAGCTGAGAGCAGGAGCCAGGTGACACAGGCAGGAAGCAGCAGAGGCGGCGTTCCATCCCCGTCCTCCTGACACCACCTGATGTCAAGGCCAGAGCTCACTCCTCTCCATCAATGGTCTAATTCCTCTGAATAAGCAGCAAGTCAATCAATTCCAATGCAGTTGGGGAAACTGCTTAAGAATAATTTGAGACTTACCCAGAAGGTTTGACCATAATATGAAAACAAAAAGCAGAAAACAGTAGTCACTTTGTGGAGACCATGAAAAGAAATCTACAAATTGCAGTTCACCTGTGCAGATTTTCATTGGCACAACCACTAGGAACCCCACCCCAATGGTCATGACAGGTGCAGCACTGTCAGGGTCATTTGTTAAGGCATTTAGAGATCTAATAACACAAATTGTTTGATGCAATAGATGCACTAAATTGCAAAATAAAAGGAGAAATGTAGAAAAGGTATGAAAACTGACTAGCATGGTGCCAAGCACAGTCATTCAATCAACTCATACTACTAGCATCATTAATAGAGATGCTGATCATTCACTCCAAAGCAGGACATCATAAAACTTACTCTGGAATAATCAAGATCTCTGGGTGTTGAGTCTGTTAAAGCTCGGACAAGGGCATTCATCATACAGATCGGAGGAGAAGGTGGGGAGGGCTGAGAAGGTTCCTGCTGTAGTGGGCTCTTTGGTTTGGAAGGCAGCCGACCTCTCCTCCCTTTCAGACTATCTGTACGAACAACTGATGCAGAGAGAGAGACATAAAACAATCCTTAAGATTATGTTATAAAAAAAAGATTATATTATGATTAGGTATAAATCACAAAAAAAGGAATCAAAATACACCACAGTTGGACAATTATTACTGGAACAACCATTAAAAAGTGGTAAGAAGTTTGAAATAATATTCAACAATGATTTAATGTGAGTTGAAACAGGCAAGCAAAAAAAGACAGCCCATACTTACGTTTGGTAATGAATTAGCCCTGAAAGTCTCCTTCTTAAATAGAACAAAGATGCATGTACACAAGCTGTCTATTGATTTTGAGAAATTAGAATTAGTAGTCTGTGGCTATTTTTAAACATAAAATACATCATACAAATAAAATGTTGGAAGGAAAGAGATCCTAGGAAAATTTACCATCCCATCATAATTATTAACATTTTTTTGTGATGACTGAAAATGCATATAAGCAAAGTGGATGAAAAGCATGACATTCGTACCTTCTTTAACCATTCCGACACTGAGACACTTCTGAAATCGACAGTACTGACATCGGTTTCGACGTCTCTTGTCTACTGGGCAGTTTTTATTTGCCAGGCAAACATATTTTGCATTTTTCTGCACCGTTCTCTGAGAAAATACAATACAGAGATAGTCAACTAATAGTTTCTGGAAAGAGGTAGGACCTGACAAGATGTATTTTAATTACAATGTGAAAAGCGACAGCGCAATTCGTATAATTAGATAAATTTAATTTCCTAACACGCTAGCCTGCAGGAAAAACAATTTTATTAGTGTTAGCTGCTGACAATGAAAATCATCTCGGATTGTTCTGAAGCAAGTCTCAGGAGACACCCAACTCTGAATGATAAAATCATATCTGAAATTACCAGGTCAACATATCATACCTTGGAGGATTGGATTATCTCCACTTTTAATATCCCTTTGGGAACAATTTTCCACTTTGTTCCACTCCCCTGATTATTGCTGACCTTATTAAAATAAAATCAAAATTATCTGGGATGTACTTTGTATGCTATCACTATTGTAAGTCAAATATCTCAGTAACTGGCTTTGTTACTCAATAGAGATGAAATCGTAAAAAAGCAAAATAAGGGTTTGTCTTGTTAGAACATACAGGAAATAAGGTTTTAACTCAAAAAGAAATTAGCTTATTTGGCTTAGTTTATCATTAAAGGATATATATTGTAAACTGGCCATTTTTCATTTTTTAAAGCAAAATCTTAATACTGAATACTAAAAGTCACTGACAATAAAGAAAAAAGAAAAGAAGAAAGAAAGGAAGGGAGGAAGGAAGGAAAGAAGAACAAACAAACCCCAGGAGACAAATAAGAGCAAGAGAAAGATAGAAATATAAAAGTTATATATTTTCAGTGCAAATTCTCATTAACTGGTTATTTCATAAGTGACTATTGATGCAGACACCAAAACAGCTATATTATAAAAGACACATTATAAAACTTGGGCTTTGATATAAAAACATCGTATTTTTCAAAATCTGTAGAATTTTGAAATGACACATGTAGAAATAATTAAATATACTTTATGCTCCAAAGTAAAAAAGAAATGCTTGTTTTATAAATTGAAAACATTTGTGCAAATGGATACATTTCATCACTTAGGGCAAAACTGCTCAGAAATTACCTGGATCTATACAACTCCAAATACAGTAGAAAGTTGGAAATCTATTTGGGAAGTATGGCTCCATTAAAAAAAGAAAAATTCAGATAACTTTGGCTTTGTGACCTATTTTGCATTCAAAATTCTAGGTTTCCTTTCAACCTTTCCTTTATTTTCAGTGATCCTCATCCCCATGTTTCAGTTTTCATCTTGTCACCTTTTAATTTTATCTTAGAATATGGTTTCTAAATTGCTTATATAAGACTTAAAAAATATAACAAAGCCAACCTCTCTCAATTTTAAGACATATTTGCTCAGTTTAAAATGCGAAATTCTGAGACACAAACACACTTTTGAGTTTCCAGCATTTAAATTTTCAGCAGTCTGTAAGGATAGGAAACTTGTGCTTTCTGAATGAAGCTCTCTTTCATTGAACATGCAGTAATTTCTAACACTCTATTTCTTGCCATTATCCTCAAGGCGATATGCCAATTTAAGTGCTAGTGGCATTTTGCTTCAGGTATACATTTTCCCAATAACCTGAAGCCTTCCCCACATTTATGTGTGCCTACACAGTTTAAGGACAGAGAGAGATCGTTACGGTTCAATCACTGGATTCCCATCATTAACTGCACTTCATGTCACATTTTTAAAGAATTCAATTTAATGGTAGAAAGCCACTGGGTAAAACCTGCTCCTGTTCCCTTAATTAACAGATCCGTGGGGTTGTTCTCCCCCATCCTACCCCCACCATTTCAAGTATAGATTTGATTTCAAGGGATTGTGGAGAAAAGGGAGGCTGTTGGAAAGCACTTAATGGACATTTCTAGATTCAGAATGTATGACCACTCCCATATTTTGGTCAACTCTAAATTATTTAGGAGTGATTCTATTTGCAGACTACTCATAATTCTCTTAATTGTTTTCCATTCTTTTCTTCCATATCCTGCTTTTCCCCACTACTCTTAATGATGTACAAATTAAACCTGCTAAGGGAATGCAGTTACTTCAAAGTTACCCTGGTTAAGAGAAGGAAAAACATGGCTAAGGTTCTGCATTTAAGACATCATAATCCTGCATACCTGTAGGGCACTTTACACATTGCAAAGTCTTTCCATAAGCATTTTCTCATCTATCTTCAGAATTCAATTAATGACACGATTACCATCTCCACATCAAAAATAACTGTTGCTTGATGCTAAGTATTCCCATCCACAAACATGTGCATTTTTACAAATACTTTGTAGTTTTCATTTAATAATGAACTATTGTTTATAGCCTTTTAAGAATTCTAAAGTGCTTTTGCATATATTTTTATCTCCTTGAATACTCACAGCCTTTCTGAGTTTTATTCATAGATAGGGAAACTAAATCCTAGAAAGAAGTGTCATGCACAATGTCATACAATTGGTAGGTGACAATTTAGAGGTCCTATTTGGGTCTTCTCACTCAGTTCCTGAACATTCCCAGATATATCTTATTGGCCTCCAAATCCAAGTTACCCAATCATGATTCTGTTTCCCTTCTCTCTCTACCCTGACCAGCAATGGACAGGGTAGGGAGTGACTTGTGTGGGTTTACAAATGCCTGAAGTAATGGTCAATGGCATGGGGCGGAAGAAGAGTGGCACAGAAGTAAATGTCTGAAGCAGTCTGGGAATGGCAAGAGGCAGAGCAGCAAGAGAATGAGTTCCCTTCACCAACCTGGGTGAAAATAGCATTGAACTCAGAAGTCAAGAGAAGCCAGCTGGACCCATCCTGTGTGGAGTTAAATCACTGTGTACAGCTAGCTCAAGGGTTCACCTCTTTTGGGATTAGCTTCCTCAGGGGAAGATGGATGACCCTCTCACTGTCAAATTCTCCTCTGGGTTTATAAAAGAATGAACAATGTTGAAACATGGCACTGTGGGTGGTATATAGAGAAGGAAGAGCTCCTAGATTAGTGGATTAGTGAGGTCCCCAACTTCTATCTCCAGTGAAGGGAGCCACCCAAACTCCATCTAGCCAGTTACACTATCTATTCTGCCAATGCAGAGCTATGAAAAGGGTAGGTGCTTTGGGGACACAAAAACATGAGTCAGCATCCTGCCTCCATCCCACTCTGAGTGTGTGTCCTGCGCCAGTTCAATGACCTCTCTCACCCTCCCTGACCCATCTCTGAAACAAGGATAATCATCAAGACACTGTTGACCAAAATAGCTTTTGAGTGGTCCGAATTCAGTCTCAGGTCTGGTTAATTCTAGAGTCTCAGCTCATACTGTGAGGATTAAGCAAGATACAAATGTCCAGGGCCTGCCATGCAGATCCAATCCCCTCAGACTCTCTGGATGGACAGAAAAGGAATTGCCTTTTTTTTTTTTTTCCCCATTGTAGAGGTTACAGATCCTTCTGACAATCTGCTGAAAGCTCTCTCCAGAAAAGTGCTCATAAGGCAATGTCAGATCAAGAACCCTCACGTCCATCTCTGGGTGGCCTCCTGACCATGGGCCTCAAGTTTAAAACCCCCAGGAAAATGGGTCTAAAGTGTAAAGGCGATACCTCTCAAACAGTGAAGAACAAGAATTACTTCTACACCCACTAAGATGATAGCTTCAGTTAAGGGGCTGGCTGCAGAGGGGAGGGGGGCGCCAGGAAGAGGTGTGCGCTCACCTTGAAGAAGCCCTTGCAGCCCTCACAGGTGCGCACCCCATAGTGCTGGCAGGCGGCGTTGTCCCCGCACACAGCGCAGGTGCCCTCTCCGGAAGACGAGCTCCTGTTGGGGGGCGATGGCAGGCTGGGACTCTCGCCCAGCAGGCTGGTCGCGGTAGGGGAGGCAGTGAGGCCCAGCGGCGGGAAGGCCAGCGCGGCCGCTCTCTTGGCCAGCGGCAGCCCGTATGGGTGGCCCTCGAGCGCGGCAGCCTGGCTGCCAGCGGCGGCCGCGGCTCCCAGCGGCAGGCTGAGCGCTGCAGCGGCCGTCGGGTCATAACCGAGGTGGTGGCCGCCGGCCGGGCTGGGCGCTGGAGGGTGTGGCGGCGAGGGCTTGAAGTGGAAGAGCGGGAAGCGCGCGCCCGCCACGGTGGACACTGCTTTCATCGGCGGGTCCAGCAGCGGGCCAGGCGCAATGCAGCCTGGAGCCGAAGGCAGCGCATCTTCCCACAGCGCCCCCGCTTGCGGGGGGAAGCCCGGCGTGGTAGGGGTGGACGGCGGGGACTGCTTGAAGTACATGGAGGTGCTAGGCAGTACCTCGTCTTCCGGGCCAGAGGGAGGAGGAATGGACGGCTGCTGCTGCTGCTGCTGCTGGTGATGGTGATGGTGATGGTGGTGGTGATGGTGATGATGATGGTAGCCCTGCGCGCGGCCCTCTTCCATCTTGATCAAAGGCCGCGGCCCAGAAGGAGGCATTTGGTACAGGCAGGAGGGCTTGAGTTCGTAGCTGCTGGAGTAACCCTCCATGAAGGTACTGAAACTGGGCAGGGACGTCGTGGCAGTGGCCGTGATCTCTGTACTGCCGAGGTCCATGGTCAGCTTGGCATAGTCGGGGTTCATGATTTCCGTGGTGTATTCAGAGCCATACGTCTGTGCTGCATAACTGGACCCCGGAGGCGAAGGGCTATACTGGGCTTGCACGCAGGGCATATCTGCAGGGGCAGAGAAAAGGATCTTTCAGAAATAAGGCAGCACTGGACTCACTGCTTTCTACTCTGGGAAGCACAGGAAGTGGCATCTTTCTGTTAGCACATACTTTCTTCCTCCCTGGGAAGTTAGCTGAATCCTGAAAAGGGGCCACAAGACCCAGAATCTGGCCTCCTGGGAACCTCAATACCCATCTTCTCTCTTGCCCTGTTTTCCACCAGACCTGGGAACTTGATATCTTTCCTCAAAAGCCCAGAGATGTATTTTTAAAAGTGGCTTTGAGTGCTATAAACTAATTGATGTGACTCCTCAGTCACAAGCTGGGAGGACAAAGGAAAAGCCACTGAATGACCTGTTGGTTAATTTTGGGAGAAAGAAAGTCTATTGGTCTCCCAAGCCACACATATTGATTTGTAAATTTATGAGTTAGTCAAAAAAGTTGTCCTGTGTGGGACTTACTGCCCAAGGGAGACAGTGACATTTTAACATTTTATGAGTGCCAACTGAGGCTGCCCACACACGTTGTGGTTGCTTTTCCCCACCCCCTCCACACTCCTCTAGCAGCCTGTACAAACTGGACCCTTGTGATGACTTCAGCCAGCTAGGTGGTGAGGTAGGAACATAGGCCCAGGAAATGGACTCGAGGGAGTTTGTGCCATCTGCAAAGAAAAAGACCAGCAGCTGCAACAAAACACCCACCAAACCTGCTCTCTGCTACACTGTATTTGTGTGTATGTGTGTCTGTGAGCTGCACGCACATGCTTGCACGTGTGTATCCCAATTCTGACTAATAAGATGTATCAGTGGCTGTTTAATCAAAACAGTTAATAGTTATAGCTATCATAATACGCAAGTTAGTCTAAGTATTTTCTTAGGACTTCAGAAGAATGAATTTCCTAGAAAAGAAGAAAGCAATTTATGAATAGACTTGGTTTCTCTGCCAGTTTGACTATGTTAAATCCCCAAAGCAAATGGTATCCAAGGTGCTTATTATTGTTCAGAGAGGTTGAACTGGGTGAGAAGATCCTGAAAGCTAATGGCTCTAGTGGATGATTTATCTGATTATGTTCCTTCTTTATAGCTAAACAGTATTGATAAAATGGGCAGTTTCTGGTGGTTGGTTTTTCTGAGCCAAAGGAAAACCTGCTACTTAATGTCTGTTTGTAGTGTATGGAGTAAAAGGTGTGACTAATAGAAAAGTGAGTACTTCACATTTCCTTTGACATCTTTCTCTTACCCACATTTCCAAATCTGATTGAGTCATGCGTGTATGGGATGAAATCTTGACTTGAAAAAAGGTGATGAGGGCCTGTTGGAAGAAGCAGTGATGAGGAGAGGCCAGTTCAAGCCTGTCTTTTTTTCAAGCAGGGCCTTAAAAACACACTAGTTGAATTAAAGGATTAATTGTCTTGGTGTCCATTTGTTGGGATGAAACTAAAGGCTAATCATTTAAAAGAAAGAACATTGCCTGCCTAGTCTTTCATCTTGTATCCCTTCAGCACCTCTAGGATTTCTCCCTTAGTCTTTTCTCTCATTCTTCAGTACCATTCCCTACCTACTGCTTTTCTTTGTGTTTTTCTGAAGTTTCCAGCTGGAAGATGAGCTTGCTGGGACTGTGTTCTATTTATCTTCATATCTCTGGTGCCTACACAGGCCTGGCATCTAGTATCCCTTTAACAAATTTGTAAAGAGGTGGTGCAAACCAAACCTGCCGTCCTTTCTTTTGCCAAATTTACATCTACTCCTTGGCTTTCAGCTCCTATGTTTTTCACTTTCCCTCTGAGCTTCAATCATTCAAACTTCTGCACCCAGATAATTTTGGTTTCATACAAGCAAAATCATTTCAGAGCATCCCTCACGCTCTAAAGTGATCCCACAACTCTTAAATGCGTAAACTTGATATAAAAGGAAGGCAAAAATTAAGACACTGAAATGCAAAAAGGACTCTCATCCATTGGGGTATTTGCATTTTCTTTGGAAATATAATTTTGAGGAATGGAACACTTAATTTAATTTGGCTGTTCCAACTCGATAGCAACAGGGTGTGGTATACCGAGGAGTTTTGTGCAAGCAAGCCACCTGTGCTGTGAAATATGGGGCTAGCAGTTACTGTGCTGGCACTGGGCAGGCTGACCAGCCTGCCTGCTAGGTGTGTGGTTCCATGCACCCATTTCTCTCGAGCCTTCAGACCTACCTGGAGGATATCTTGCGCGCTGAATGGTGGGGCTGGGGGTCTCTCCAGCGGAGGCTGAGAGTGTAGGAGGCGGGGACGTCCGGTGAGGCGAAGCAGCGGCGGTGCTGCCCGGCTCCGCTGAGGGTCCAGGCTCCGGGCCCGGGCTTGCCGGGCTGCGTTCTCCCGCAGTGGGCTCTGCAGGCACCGAGAAGGAGGACAGAGATCGCTGTGAGACCAGGCTAGGTCACTGCGTTCTGGGTTGGGCGAATGGGGGGGGGGGGGGAGGGGGGGGGGGGGGGGGGGGGGGGGGGCGCTGGGGTGGGGGGGGGGGGGGGGGGGGGGGGGGGGCACGGGGAGTGGCGGTGTTATCTAGAAATTCTAGTTAATTACAAAGAATTATCATAAGGTTAAGTAAAGGTGCTTAAGGGTCCGCGGGTCCGGGAGAAAGAAGCATTACAATGCCTTAGGGGAAGCTAAGGAAATGTCCGCAACCACTGCGCACACCGTGGTTTTGTGGCGCGCCAATTGAGGCTAAAAGCCCCGCAGCCTGTGGTTGTCCAGGAATTTCTCTCTCTGCCCTCACAATTGGTTCGGAGCTCTCTAAATCAGGAAAACCGAAGAAAGGAGAACACTTGAGGAATGAGTTCCACCCGAATTTGGGGGTCAGTGAGTGTGCACGAGCGGAAAATAGTCGTTTTCTAACTCCTCTCGCCCCCCACCCTTCAAAGACAAATTTTACACGATGCACAGGAAATGCACAAGGTCCGGAACGAATGCATGAATGCCCCGAGGAATTAAGAAAGTCTACGCTTTTCATTCTAAATGCTAATGGGGCTTCGCTTCTATTAGACGCGAGTTTCGGGGACCAGGGGTCAAGCAAACAAAAGGGCACAGTGGAAAAAGGCCCAAGCTGGAAATCAGGCGATAGGGCGGACAGCGTTTGCTGCTGGTGGAGAGGGCGGAGGGAGGTCCTCTGCACTCAGCGGGTGGGTTCCCCGAGGGTGGGCGGCTTGTAGGCTCCGGGCCATCCCCTGGCCTGGAGGGGGCACATTCCGGAGGGCGCCAAGCACAGCTCCCAGGCGAATGTCTGAGCGTACAGAGTAGCGAAACTTTGTAGCTGAAAGGCGCTTGATTGCCCTCAGGGAAGGATCAGCCTGCCCCAAACTCCGGCCAATAGCGCCCCCTTTGCTCGGGGTGGGCACAGCTTGAAGGGTAGCAATGTTAACGGGGGGGGGGGGGGGCGCGGGGGAAACCAAACCAAACAAAAAACCTCCCGGGTATGCAGGTCTCAAGGGTCCTGTAAATTTCGTCTCCCCCCACTCGCGCGTCGGGAGCTTGCTTGCAAGGAGAAAGGGGCTCGGAGACCCCAGGTCCGGGAAACCCTCGATAGTCAGGAAATGGGGATTCCCTTGCTAACCCCAGCCGGAGTTGCTCTGATCGAAAGCTTGCGCTCGCTGTAGCGCTGGCACAAGCGGATCTTTCCACGGCTGTAGCATGTGCTTTTCATCCCCCAGCATCTTCCGTGGGGGTTTCCAGCAACCCCCATCTCCTCCTCTAGTGGGTGCCCACATTCCTGCCCCTCCCCGGGAGCCTTTCAAGCGGAGACTTTCTCTAAGGGGCGACCTCTGAACTCGCGTGGGCAGGGGTCGTGTCTCCCCAAGGAAGGGGTTCCTCTCAAACGCCCAGCGTTCGCGGCGGAAAGCGGTACAGCCCTTCCTACAGCCTAGTCGAGCGCCCCACCGCTCTCTCCGCCCCCCAAACGGCCGGTTACCTAGGCAAAGCCTCGGCGCCTGGAAACACGTTCTGCCGCTCTTGCTTGCGGCCGCCGGGGCCGGGGAGCACAGAACCTCGGGGTTGTAAATTAGGAAGAAATAACTACCTCTGTCAAAGCCTCTTTCTTTCTCGTGGGTAGACGAAAGGAACACCCCCGTGTTCCCCTCCCCGTGGTGAAGTGTGTGGAGGAAACCGTGAAACGCACCATTGTGACTGGGGCTCCTCCGCGGAGTTTCCAACCCTGGGGAGCGGGGGCGGAGGTTGGGCGGGGGCAGGAGCAGTGGAGGAGAGACCGACAGAAAGGGAAAGACAGAGATTCTCAGAAAGAGCGAGGGAGACAAGACAAAACCGCGGGGGAGAATTTCTGCGAGCGCAAGGTCCCAGGAAAGGGGATGAGAAGGTGGGGAGGTTGCTGTGGCATGGAGAGTCTTTGATATTCACATTGCACGCATCTTGTTCAGCTAGAACAACTCGAATAAAGTAATTTCATTCATTGTGCCCAGTACCCGCGCTGGGCAGCTTTTCTTTTTCCCAACTCAGTTTTATAAAACACTTCCCTGTCGTGGGAAAAGAAGACTCAGGATTGGATTCGCTACGGAATGGCTGAACGGCGCCTTGTACCCCTCTCCCTGCACCCCAAGGTGCCGGGATAACAGTCCGAGATTTCTGATTACTAAACTCTTTGCAGCTCTTTCCTCTGGAGAATCCGAGCGCATAGATGAAAGGCAATTTCCAAGAACGTTCGGAAATAAAGGGACAAATGCTTTCCCTCTCATGACTGCCTGAAGCTACCAACAGGTTCGAGAGGTGTCTTTGGAAGTCAGTATCCGCAGGCTATGCTCACATCACCGCTCTCTTCTCACCACCGAGAACTTTCATTTCTACTAAGAGTAAAACACTCGAAACAACTTCTCCAAAAGCGTGAGTTCTGTCAGTGAAAAGTAAAGCATTCCTTTCCTACACCAAACCAAAGTCAGGAGGAGAGGGACGCTGTCCCCACGCGTGTCGGAGCGCGGAAGTCAGCAATTACACCCTATTACCTCCGAAGGGAAAAGTGTAAACCGGTAAGACCGCGATGCCAGGCAGACGTGCCTAGCGGAGCCCCAGGCTCATTTCAATACAATAAACCACATTCCTACAATTACACCCTCTTTCCTGAGATCTCCGAGCGCCTCTGCAAACTCCGGCCACTGCTGCCCAGGCCTCTTCGCTCCTAAGCTTTCTCCCAGACAATCAGCTCCATTCCACCATTAGGTACGTTAACTTGGACCCACCAGAGCCCCTATTTTCAATCCTACTTAAAAGGCAGGTAAATTACTGCCGTTCATCACCGGGGCTGCAACTCCCTGCCGCTCCCGTTGCCGCTGCCGCCGCCGCCGCCGCCGCCGCCGAGAGCATCATTACCATGACAACTAGAGCCGAAATACCCTGAATTACATCGCTAGAGCTCTTACTGCACAAATCCCGGTCCTCCTCTTTGTTAGAGGCTTTTCGCCTGTTGGGGTGGGGAGAGGAATCCCACAAGCTCCAGAGAGTCCTCGCGGGCCCGCTAAAGGGAAAAAGTTTCAGATCAGAACCCACGGGCCGCTTGGCAAGCAAAACCAGAGCGGGGAGGCGTGTGTGTGTGTGTGTGTGTGTGTGTGTGGGGTAACCACACTCAAAGTTGTCATTTTCAGGAGCGACGCTTCCCATAGCGCCAACTTTTCAACAAGTCCCCTTATTAACTGGGCCAATCTCATACGTACTTGAGTGCTGTGGCGGTTCCGTCTTTAGAGCGAGTTTCTAGAGAGCTGTTCCGAAATCTTCACTGGGGGGGAGTCACAGCTGCTGTCCCGGAAGGGCTGCGGTGTATAAGCCCAGCGGCTCCCAGAGGCGGTGAGCGGCTGGTGGGGGATGCTGCGATCGCGACTCATGGGAGAGCGCCGCCGAGAGGTTCCGCCGGCGTCCTGGCTCCGGCCGCGACTAGGGGATAGGATGCCGCAGCTGTTCCCACCTCCACTGCCACCGCAGGCGCTGTCAACGTTGCAAAGTGAGCTCAGGAGGGGCGTCCGGCTGCGGCACGGTGCTGCACCAGCGAGGGCGCAGGGTTAGAGGGGTGTGAGCGCGCGGGAGAGAGTAGAGTGTGTGTGCGGAGCGTGTGTGAGGAGCTTGTGTGCGCGCGTGTGTCTGTGTGTGCGAATGAGGGAGCGGGTGTGAGCGTGTCTGTGTATTGGGAGCGGAGGAGGAGCAGGAGCTGGAGGGGTGGGGGGCGGGAGGCTGGAGACTCCGCTCTCCCGGCTGCGCGTTCGCTCGCTCTCTCGGCACGTCATTTAT